CAGTCAGGATCTAACCTGTTATTTCTCTCACGTATTATTTTTGCCTTACATAAGGAAGGCTGACAAACATGTTATATTAGAAAACAGGAGATATCTCCTGCCACCCTTAGAGGGTTGGAAAAGAAGAAATCTTGCAGGCCTTATCCTGCAGGATAAGTAGTTCTATGTTCAGAAAAGGCAAAATTGCATGTCACGAAACTTGTTTTATTGAATTGAAAGTTAATATGCAATCCTTTGGAAGAAGATTTGAAAGAGTTAGCATTTGCAAGAGCATTCCTCATAATGCTCATCATCATGGCAGTTTCTGTCCTACTGAAGAAATTAAAGGTTATCTTTCTCAATGACTATGCTAATTTTCATGGGAGACTACCCCAGAACAAGCCTTGCTTTTCTCAAAGAAATCATTTTCATACTCTTTCAATTAACATAATGTCTTTCCAAATATGTTTAAACTTTTAAGCACAGGGGTTTTTCTTTTAAGCACTGATCTTTTCTGTAAGGTGAGCTTGTATTAATCTCTTTTATTTTGTTCAAGAATGGTGTGTGGAAATGATGTGTGCATTTGGGTATTCTGTTTAATTCCAGACTAATTTGCCTCACTTTGCTTTGGTTGTAAGACTGTGAAGATTTCTTTGTTGTCCTATGAGGAGGTAAAAACATGAGAATGCCTTTTTGAGATGGAAAGACAAGAGATTAACCAAAGAGAACCTTCACAGCTAGCACAGGAGGAAAGCACCAATTAAAAATACACAGGTGTCTTTGTGCTCACATGAGTGTGCACAAACATTTGCACATACTTGTTTGTGTAACCTTTGGAGATACTTTCAAACTGAAGCACTCTTGTATGTTGGAGTGGGGTTTTGTGAAAGCTGTGATGGTCACTGAAGTTACAGTGATAATTTGCAGGAAAGACTTAGTAGGCAACTGGCTCATGGGGTGAATTTTTACTCACAGAATCACAGTGTAGGTGAGGTTGGAAGGGACCTCTGGAGATGGTCTGGTCCAACCCCATTGCTCAAAGCAGGGTCAGCTAGAGCAGGTTGTTCAGAACTGTGTTCAGTTGAGTCTTAAATACCTCCAAGGATGGAGAATCCACAAGACACTTGGGCAGCCTCTTCCAGTGTTTAGAAGTATCTGTTAGTTTTCAGAAATAGTCATTAATATCTTGCTAACAGGGTAGTGAGGAATTGCTAAGGCTAACATGCCATTCCACTCACAGACCACTTTTAAGTTTGAGGAAAGCGTGGCATGTTTTGCAAGAAGTAAAAGCCTTCTGCCATTCTTTAAACTTAGGGGGTTGACATACAAAAGAAATGCAAACATATATCACGGTAGCAGAATGGCTGTATTTTGCACTGTTCAGGATTAGTCTGCCTGTGTTGATATGGCCTTGTAGAATTACAAATGTCTGGTCAGCTTTCCAAGAAACGTGCTATGAAACTTCATATACAGCAAATATCTTCAGAGAACTACTTTCAGTACTGAGAGGCTGTGTATATGTATTCTAGCATAAACATAGGCTTAGAGTCTGTATGTTACTTTTCCTAGCCTCATTGTATTAAAGGTGAGGACACTTAATTTATCAGAGTAGTAGAGGCACTCATAAAAATACTGCCTTGGAATTTACATACGTATTTCAGCACTTGTTGAATTAAGTGTATATCTCATTATTCTGGTTGGTGTGTACGGCAGGAGAGTATCTCTACAATACACACTATTTAATTTTTTCAGAAAAGTTGTAATATGGGGAACAGTCTGTTGCTCTCTTCTTAGGTACCACACTTAATTTCCTTACCCATCTCATCTCTACTACTGCTATGGCCTGGTAAGATAAACTTCTAGCCAAATCACTGCTGTCTTGTTAAGGTCCAGGTAGAGATTGTAAGAATAGGTACTCTTCTGGAAATTTCACTCTTTCTCAAATGATGCTGCTATTTTACCCATGTAAAGGCTTGGAAAGTTAATATTGTTAAAACATTTGAAGAGAAATATATTTTTTTGTATATGATGTTCTCTTTTAAAAAAAACAAGAACATGATTTAGATGCACATTTATGGAACATGTATGTAAAGAGGAATCCTGTATCTTGTAACAGCAATTTGATATTTAAGTGTTTTAAACTCTAAGTAATATATTGAAGAGCAGCTCTTCTGTGCTGATGATGTAGGAGCTTATCTTTGTAAGCAGCTCCTAAACATACTTCAGGCTCTGGCAGGTGCATGAAGATTTTGTTCTCTTTGACTATTTTTTAAAGTAGCTGCATCATTTGTGTTGCGTCTGTACGTCGGTTCCCCAAGGAGCTTCCTTGCTGGCTTAAAGGTTCCATACTATTGAATGCTTCAGGGGGATTTTGGAAGATTATTGCGGTTATATGTAATGTTTTTTTAAGATTGTCTTTAAATTACTTTGGATGGTCTGTCTGTATTTTTTACTTTAACCATCTTGCTTCTTAAATTTTAAAGAGGAATTAAGATAGGAATGCTCTTTATTTTACCTTCTGAAAATCATTTAAGTATATTTTCCAGTGAGTTCTGTTTTAAATGTCTCCTACCAGTTCTACCAGCTTTTTTTTTTTATTTGAGAGTGAGACTTCTAGGTTGTTTTGTTTCTTATTGTAATGTATTGGTCGTCTTTGCCCTCATTGTTCAATCTTTCAGTTTTCCAGAGCACTGTTAAGACAAGAAAGAGACATATGTAAAAATCTTCATACAAATTTTGCACAGCTGCGGAAAAACTGTGTAATTTGTTCCCTAATTCAGGTATCAAAGGTGTAATTTTTGTCTCCATAGAATTTGTTTGAAACGGTATACTGCTGGAACCATTTTTTTGTTCCTTATGAGAGCTGCTGCTTCTTCCTGTGTTTTTTGTCTGATCCAAGTACCAGATTTTTTAATATATATAAAAACCCAAAATAATTTCAGCTGATTTTACCTGGGTTTAGTGTCCTACTGGTTTAGATGATTATTTTATCAGATTCATAAAGCATGAAGTCAGGGCCAATTACAAATGGAGTTCCTAGACAGAGAAAGACATCAAACATTACAGATCTCTCAATAGAAGAGTCAAAATCCTGCATTTTGCCTTTCACTCTTCTGATTACTATTGGAATATTTTCTATGTGTGCTTTTCATGCTGAGTAATCCTTAATTCTGGTGTGTTTGCAAACCAAAGTCTCTTTGGCTTGTTTTTTCCATTTTGACAAGGTTAAATCTCAGCTCTTGTTATGCAACCACTTTGCTCAGCTCTTGCTTCTTTAATTTTTGGTTGTTTTTCGTTCTAGTTTCAGAGATATCAATACCCTTTTCTTTACAATCTTCTAATATTGAATAGTGAGGTAAATGAAATCCTTAAATTACATTTTCCCCCTTGTGTTGCAAGGTAATAAATGCATGAAATTGTAAAACTATATAAATACTTTAAAAGCGAGTGTATTTTTAGATGTATTATAACACTGTGTGAGAATAGAGATGTTGATATCTTTTTTTTTTTTTCCTTTGTTCCAGTAGGCATATAGATTCTCAAAGAAAATCAAAGTTTAAACGTTGGCCAATATAAAAAGAAGAGTGTTAGCCAAACTAATTTTGGATTCATAGTGTTTTGAATGTCAGCTCCATAATTTTGACTTCTAAGATCAAAAAATTTTAATGGATATATTATCTTCTTTTAAAATCTATTTGAACAAATACATTAAAATTGCATCTCACTTTATTTTCATAAACTACATGTATTATTATATGTGCCAGAGAATTCAACAATGAATCAAGTAATCTAGACATTTTTGGGAAATGTGAATACTGGGTATTTGTCTTGCCTCAGTCAAAATCAACTCTGAATCTATTAAAAATTATTATTTCCATCATATTCTGAACTTCAGTTGTTCATGTTTTCACAGGTGTTTCATAGTAATGTTTAAAATATTAATTTGAATTTTACTTAAATTCACAAATTAGATTCCAGCTTTTTCTTTGATGGATGATTAATTCACGGAAGTGTGTCAGGTTGCATTTTCACTTTGCCAGTAAGATTGATGTAAAAAGGTTGCACACATACTCGAGATGACTGAAGAAATAACATTGCAAAATCTGCCTAGCAATTTGAAGATGAAACTGACTGATTTTTTTTTTTTTTTTTACAGTGAGGTATTTTATAGGTAAGCTGATGAAGATATCAGAGAACTACTTCATTAAAACTACTGATATTAATATAGGTGATAGACTCAATTACGCTACATAAAATATTACTTATTTGAAATAAAGGTATCATTGGAAACATTCATGGTTTTCAAACTTTATGAAATTAGAAATTACTACTTTACACGATATGAATAATTAAGGAGTCTGTCTGTGATTCCTCTGTGTTGTATGGCATCCTGTGTGGTATCTTGATCTAGTTAATACAGTAACTGATTTTAATGCCTACTAGGCATCACAGATTTGGCAAATACATCCTTTCACTCCCAACTGTGCTCATAATTTTTTTCCATCTGAAAGCACTGTTTGTCTAAGCAAGTTTTACTTGGAAAGAATAGTAATGGGCAAATGGGAGAGTATTTTTTTAAAGTAATCTGTGTTTGGAAAAAAGCATATCTCAAAATAGTAGAAAGACAATATCAGTATTTGCTATTATACATCCTCCAAGATTGCATAAATTAATGATACAATATTTCTTGGATGTGGCAAATGTTAGAGCTTTATTTATTATTTTGAAAGACCAGAAGCCTATTCATCTTTCTCTAAATATGATCACTTTTGAAGGAAGATTTTTTTTATAAGTTCACACTTATGTGCAGGAAGTTTTGTTAAAACAAAACCCTAAAATGATGGTTATGTGAATTTTCAGAACATTTGTTGATAGCAGAAATGTTTTGGTGAATGTTTTGGTCCATCCTGATGATTTTTAAAGGATGACTGCTGGACTATAAGCGGTATTTAAAAAAAAAAATTGTTTTCTTTGGTCAGATTTTCTGTTTTAGTATTAAATAAAACTATTCTTATTTTCAGATAACCCCAGATGTGGCTTGTGGAAATGCCAGTTCCAATACCTCTGCTGGAGGCCGGCTTATCTCTTTTGAAGTTCCACAGAATACATCAATAAAGTAAGAGTATACGTCATATATGATGAACTATAAAAATGCTTTTATTTTAATTTGCCTAGATATTTTAGACAACAGTTGTTCAGGTAGGCAGATTTGTCAAATGGCTAAAAGTGTATGAAAGAACTTCAGACAGACTTCAGGCATCTAGCAGTGCCACGACAGCTTTTTGCTTGGTATGATTTTTCCCACATATTTAATGTTTTAGAAGATGTAAGCATGTAAACTGTCTCTGGGCTATCAGAATGCATTAGAAATCAGGGCAGATGTGTTGAAGGTGTCAGTTTGGAGAAGGTAGGATGTTTTCTTTCTCTTTCATGCAGTGAACACCTCCCCCCCCTTTAATCTCAAGATGCACTTGCAGGTAGAATAAATGCATGTATTTGATTTGACTATATAAGTGCATGCATTTGTATTTGATTTCTGGATTATTGCTGTGGGTGTCATCATCAGCTGTGAAATCTTTGTGTATGTCCTACAAACCACATTTCTCAAAAATTTGAATTTATTCTGTGTTATTCACTTTTCAAACTCAGGCTTTTTCGATCAAATACTTGCTTTGTTACTTTCAATTAACAGAACCTGACTTCCTAGAAAGATCTGATTATGTCAGCTGGGATAAGGCATTTTTTTTATTGGAAATCTTATTTCAAATAAAAATCTGCCAGCGTAGTTCTCTGGCTCACAGCTTTACTGCAATTTTAGACGTAGATTTTCCCGAAATAGCCTACTTTTCTCATACTGTCATCTTATCTTTCAGAATCCCAGCTTTCAGTTAAAAAAGGCCATGCTCGCAGGAAAAAAACCCAAACTGATGCAAGCAGACAAGCTGCAGACAGTTTGGAGCACTAACTGTTAAACGTGGGAGCTGTCCTACTCTTCCCACGGGAATTTGAATCGTGCTCATTCATGAGTGTTAAGCCCAAGTCAGAAAGAGATCTGTGAGTGTGGATGATCTGGCTGGCTGGAATCTGTAAGCAAACAAGTGTCTTTTCTTGAAATCAGGAATAAGCTGGCATTTGTGGATTCTACAGCTGTATGTAAGACCTTTGATGGAGGAGCCCCATTTTAAAGGAGGTTGCAGAGTACACAGTCATCTTTGGTCATTTTTTACACTATGTATCTTTAGTAGTGTTTTATATATGGGTAGATCAATGCAGGTCAATATCTTTATTTCATTGTATTTCCTGTGTTAAAGGCCCAAGTAACATCTCTGGTTCAATGGCTATCTATGAAAAGAAAATAATGGCAGTTTAATAATTTTATTTTGTTTTGATTGTAAAGTGTGACCTAAACTGTGGAACTAGTTGCTATCCTGTTCTAAAAGTGAGATGTTCAGCTTTGGGGATAGCAATGGGGGTTGCTCTTAAACAGGACCCAAAATACTATCCAAAATTTGCTGCTTATGATGTCTAGTTGCAACATTTTTTCAACTTGTGTCAAACACGATTACAAAACTTTACATTTTTTGTTTTGAACTCAGATAAGTGACAGGGGAGAAACTGCTTTGTGTTTTTAGCAGGATTGAAACAATTTCAGTACAGGAAGTTGTGGAACAGAACTTCGTCTCTGAGTATTTGTAGGCCTGTTTTCAGCAGGGAGAGAATTATCAGTTTTCAGCAGTTGTGTTTGAATTTTTGAATGATTGTTCAAACTCATTTGGGATTCCTTCAGAGGAAATTAATGCAAATTTTTGGGAACTTGCCAGAAACATGACAGGTTTTTATTTTTTCTTTGTGGAGGTAAGTAGGGAAAAATGCACCCTGAGAGGAAAGACACTGCCATAGATACAGTGCTCCCTAGCGGAGCCAACAGTATATATGCAGTTGTAGATATTACTTTATCCAATCTGTCAATATTCAGGAAGGCACAGTGGACTCAGTGACCTTGGGAGCATTATGCGACTCATTTGATTTACAAGAATAAACTGTTCTGAATCTTCGATCTAGTATGTCAAACAAATGAGGATCTCTACCAGGATCTGTCTCCCCATATTGAACAAACATTGAATATTCTTCAGTAAACAAGAGGGCTGGATGTACTTCAGCTGCAGAAAGTGTTGGTGTTGTAGATATAGAACAGAGGTACTATTCAAACAGGCATAAATACAAAGACTGAATAAGAATGCTTTACTACTATAATGTTTATGTAAAACTCATCTTGGGCACTAAGATGGTGTCCTTCAGGTATTAGAAATTGAGACTCTGTATGATTATATCTGCTATTACATATACCATTATGCAAATAGTACTGTTGAAGCATTTTTTATTTTTGTGGACATACTAAAAACCTTCAGGCCTTTTCCTGATTCCACACTTGCTACATTTAAGTTTTCCTTCTTTGTTGATAAGCTTTGGTTCTGCAGTGATGTACTTCCCAATAACACCAGTTTCTGTTGATGTAAATATTCTTATCATTTCTTTTCTTAGAATAAGGCAAGATGCTACTGCTTCTCTTATCCTACTGTGGAAGGTCACAACCACTGGATTTAAACAGTGTTCACTTATTGATGGCAGAAGTGTCACTCTTCTCCAGGCACTGGGTGGACTTGTTCTTTCTGAAGAAATACTTGCATTAGGAAACAACTACTTTATTGGTGAGTAACATGCTGACTTTCTGTTTATCATCTCTAGGTGACAGCCAATGGTTTACCCAAAATTTAGAGAAACAACAAGGTAATTCCCTTAAATTAAGTGCTGGTGAAAGATCCAGGTGTGATATGGGGACCATGTTTTAGACATTGGTTCATTTAAAGCAGACAAGAGGTACACTAAATTCTTACACAGGTGGAATCATTCAGTTTAAAATCTAGGTGGTGATTTTTGCCCAGTACCTTTAGATGATGCAAGGTATTTTATATGTTCTGTTTTAATCAACTGTAAAGCTTTCGGTAAATTCTGCAGTAAAGAACTCTGAATGTTTGAGGTGTTCCTTTGTCACATATTGTATCATGGGATACTTTGTAAAGAAGCTGAAGTCTGTGCACAATAAACTTGAAAAAATATATTAAAATATAATAGGAAATCTGATTGTCTAACAGTGTTTACTTGCACTACTTTTTCTCTTCTAGTTTTGTCTCTGTGAATACGAAACCTTAGAAATACACTGTATGTTTCATTGGACAATTAAATGTTAAGCATCTTTGTGGAAGCGGTGTAATGAAAACAGGCTGATATGTTATTTTTAAGTGTCTAGGAAATAGGAAATAATGCTGATTTAATGCAGTGTTTATGCATAGACACAATGGACTTAATTAAATTGAGCTTTCTGGGCAGATGGTTTATTATACCAGTGACATGAAACCAAAGTCATTGTAATAAGAGCATTTATTGTAATCTGCTTGGAATGCTATATATCTTATAATGAAGTATAAGCTGCCACAATTTGTTATTCAGCAACTTATCACGCTAATAAATGTAAAACTAAAAGCATTCTGATGCAGAATCATTGTGCCAGTTTCTAAGTGTGAGATAATACAGGAAAAAACCCAAATGCAGTAGTAGTGCCATGTTCTCTCCTTTTTGAGCTGTCACTTAGCAAAGATATTGCTTGAAGGTTGTTAGTATAATCAGTTAATTACTATCAGCAGTGGTTTCTTTTAGTGAGATTTATTATCTTCAAATAATTTTCCAGTTCCTTATATTTTCTTTATTATTTACTTCCTTCCCAGATACTTGGCTTCAGCTTTTTTCTTTTAATCTAGTTTTTCATTTAATTTATCAGAGTTAAAACTCTCCTCATGTGTCTTCCTTGGGAATAAATTTTTGCATTTGCCTTGTGGTAGTTAATGTATGATAAAAGTAAGTAAAAAATGCTGAAGACAGGATAATTTCTAACTTCTATGCACTCATGAAAGTACTTAAAGGCATAGCTTGGTCTAGAAGTTCCCAAGTAACGGGCCCAAGCTGCTCTGTGAAGGCTCCACTTGACTGTACATGTCGTACAGCATAGGGTATTAATTTAGATAGCTAAAATCACTATTGTCTTACTCTTTCTTAGTTTGTCTGGTGTTACTTGTATCTCTGTAGCTGTCTGTCTGTAACTTTTTACTCTGTCATTTTTACTTTGAATTTTTTACTGTGTGCTAGGTAACATGAGGTGAAAATATGCCTTTTCCTTGATGAATGTAAAACAAGGTTTAGCTCATAAAAGTTGTGCTAATGATCTTGCTTATTTCATGCAGTTTAAGTTTTCTGAGACCTCTTATTTTATACTTCCATCTGGTTTTTGATACTTTCTTTGGTCTGTCATCTTAATTTCCTGATAATGAAATTCTTTGTAAAATTTTCCAGTTGTTGTAGTGTAATTTGATTTATGTAAAGAACATGAATCATAAATGCATATGCATGGAGCAGCAGGGAGACTCCAATAATACAGTGATACATTCATGAATAGAAATATTTGTGTGCTTATTAAGCGCAGATATAGTGCATTTGAATTTTTATAAATCCTATCTGTTTTAGAAAATGGATGGATTATTTGTAGTGCTTTTTATAGAAAATGAATATGAAATATTCCCTCTGCATACCTTTTAGTCCTGAGGCGTTGCAACTCTATACTATGATATAATCAAATAATGAGATAACTCAGCCATTTTCTGGAGTAAATTATTTTATGTGGCCTTAATTTAGTTATAGTTTTTCCAAAAATAATTTTATTTTTAAAATACTTGAGCAGAAAAAGGGTGAAATACTAAAGGAATAGGGAGACAGAAACATGAAATTGTTAGTTTAAAAGCATTTAGGACCTGTCAGCATTTATTGTAAGAGAAAACAGAGTAGCCTCTGGATTTTCTTCTCAACTGTATGGAAGTATTCTGCTTGCTTTCCATCATCAGTTCTCATCCAATAAAGTTTAAGTCTTGGGTGTATAAAAAGGAACTCAGTCATTTGGTGTGAAAAATGCTGAATTTTATCTGAACTCAACCGAAATCCATAATTCAGCTAAGGTTTATGTAAAAATAATTAAATCTTTACTTCAGATTTGACCCAACTGTATGGAAATGGACTGTTAATCTGGCACACCTCACTTAAGTTTTTAGTTTTCAATAAGATCAGATGAATAAAGTTTTTCTTATAGACAACTTCCCATATGTTTCCTGATATACATGAGAAACATTCTGAAGTACAAAAAAATTAAATTTTATATAAAAAAGCAATACTGTATCATGTGCTTTTATTGATGATATTTAAGCTGGAACAATCATGAGGCCGCAAGGTACCGTAGGATGCTGTAAGCTTAGAATCATACGGTAAGGCTGTGGCCCGTGCCAGTCGATATATTTACTTTATTTAATTTCCTCCTTCTTCCCCCACTCTTTTTCTTTATTCAAATGAGTTTTTAAAGGATTAATCTCTTAATTGGTGAATTCTAATTAGAACTATAAAAGAAAAATGGGGAAGATCTAAGTGGTTTTGTTTTTTTTTTTTCTTGTGTTGTCTTTTGGTCTGCGCCTTATTTGAGTCACTTCTCTTACCTCCAAGTTTTGTTACTCAGCAAGGTACTTTAATTACCTCTTGCAAATCTTACTGAATAAGATGGTTATGTCAAAGATAAAACATTTAGGGAAATAATTATGTTTTGTGTTACCTCATGGTGACACAAGTTTAAAGTTGTTTAGACAAAGATTGAAAAGACTCAAAAGTCAGCAGTAATGTACTGATTTGCTGAACACGTGATTCAAGGCACAATGTCTAGAGGTTGGAACGAATGCTATCTCTCAGATCTAAAAGTAGACACCTTGACCATAGTGCTGCTTACCCCAGAGACAGTACCTGCACTGTATGAGGATGAAGGGTTTGAGGGAAGGAGAAGAAAAGAACAAATAAGAGGAGTCTGTTTTCTATAATGTGATTTATAAAATGGCTGCTGCATCTGCAGTCTTTTGCGGTGCAGAAAAAGGGTTATGATGCTGGGATTATGCAGCATGATCATGTTGTTAAATTGCGACATCTACCCCATTAAAATAAGCCCCATAAGATGAGAAAGAATACTAACTTGAAGACTGGCTTGTACCTTCTGTAACACATTCTTACCATGACTGCTTTGCTTAGAGTATTTTTAATGACTTTGTCTGTAAGATTTGATACTACACATGTGCCAGTCTTCTAAAATAATTTATTATGTTTTATTAGAAAGTATACTTATTAGCCAATGGGAAAACAGGCCAATGTGGTTCAGGTTTTGAAGTGAAAAAGCCCCTGAAAGTACTGATTTTCTCAGTAGGTTAGGAGTAGGATGAAGCATACAACCTATCCCAAGGTGCTGGTGGCTTTTAATGCCAAGTTACTACCAGACAAAGGTAATCACTAGATGGTTGATCTGTAGTACAAGCCAGGTGAGCTGTTTGCAAAAAATTATTTGTTTGATGCCAAGAGAATTTCAAAAGTTTGTGCCAAAATTGAGGACTCAAAAAAAAAAAAAAAAAAAAAAAAAAAAGCTTTTTTTTGAGGGCATTTCTGAATAGCAGATGGTTTTAATATTTATGCAGAGAAATATCTATTCTGTGGAGTGCTATGGGTGTATACTTAGATTTGCCAAAGAGATAATTGGGAAGTGAAGGAGGAGATAATAATATTTTTAAATAAGAGATAGCAATAAAGGGATCAACATTTAAAACATTAATTCATGGAAAGTTTGCCTTTTACTTCAGTAGAGTTATAGCTTCACACGATTTGTCCCAATGTTCTTTGAAGTTAATGAGTGACTCTTGTATAAACTATTTATCGTATTTATAAAATGTCTCATCACTATTTGTTTTAATTCAGGATCTTCATATCTTCATGCTGTCAGTAGTAGTACTAGTATATTTAAAAATGAGTAACTGTAAAACTTTACCTTGTTATAGTCACACACCTATTCTTTATTGAGGTATGTCTTGAAAAATTGAAATCACATGAAATACATTTTTACAAGTACGAAAAAATGAGATGAGTACCCTGATGCAATGTCAGTTTGTGCATGAGTCTTTCAGACTGAAATTCTCATGAATGTTAATAGGTTACAGCTAAGGATCTCTGTGGAGAGTTGAAAGAGCTGCTTGTTATGTGCTGGGGGGAAATCTAATCCACCCAACATTGTGCACTTCTGACCTTCAGTGAATAATATACTGGATTTGGAAACATGTACAGGAACATGTATATCTTCTTCTATACAACTTTGCATAAGATTTACGAAATTGATTAAATATCTTTCTTGAGAAAATAATGCATTAACATTTTCCGTTAGAAAATAAAAAAGGCCTTGCTGAAGGACTTTGAAGGACATTTTCAGCTTGTATGGCAATTCTCTCAAAAGTCTTCTATGATTTGTTGCATGCATCTTTTTTATTGAAACTTGCAATCACATTCGGATTGAAAACTGGAACATTTATTTTGAAAACAGTCTGCTATCGAAATAGTGAAAAAACCAAATCCAACGCATAATAAAAGCATTAAAATACTATTTTTTGGAATACTCATATTTTAGAAGTTTTACAGTGGCTTGGATACCATCCGTTTTTTCACGAGTCAGTTAATTTACTCTGGCACTAAATTAATATACCTGTTCACTAAGGCAACAATTCTGTGCTTCTGACTCATATACCTGTGCATGTGA